ACTAAGATAATTAATATTATCGAGCTTATAGGTAGTGCTTCAAAGTGTTCGAACATCATAATATTGAAGCAGCTCTTATACACTTATATATATTCGAACATTTGTATCAAGTACTATATACTTATACTAATTACTAAATACTAAATAATGGAAATTGTTCGATGATGTATAAGGTACTCGGGCAGCTTATGTGCTGACTCGGCGTTTTCCATGGCTAGAATATAAGACTCTGCTTATATTCGAATACAAATGTATATTATTTTCGAATTTTGTTTGCTAACAAAAATTTGTATACATTAGTGACAAGATGAGAATGTATGTAAAAATCTTGCGTAAAACTCTCCAATGTAGACGATGGATGAAGAAAGGTTTGAATTAGCCACAACACTGACTAGAATTTAGAAAGATTTCATTTTATTTTAATTTTATTTAATACAAAAACATTTAACACGGAATAGTCGAACACAATACAGACTTCGAACTTAATGGAGAGATAAACCGAGTTCGAGAGAACATTTGGTATTTTCGAATATACTTCCTGGTGCAAAAGTGTGAGTCTTGATGGTTCCTAGTTTTCAATTTGTCAAAAAAGAGTTGTTTATAAACAAATCACAAACACTTGTAAAGCAATTTATATTATGAGAAATATAATAGATCCTTAACATGTCATCCTATGTTAGCATCAGTGTCCTTTTAAGTTCCTCACACTTATTACTAAGTTGACAACACTGAATTTTCTGAAAAAGGCCTCTGTCTTCGACTAGCGGAACAGATTTAAGAAAATTAAATTTGAAGAGCTTCATCCGTACAGCTGGAACTATATCTATTGAAATTCACTAGGTAAAGATAATTATAGAGTGAAACTATTAACAATAAACTTTGGAACGGAAACTATATGAATGCATGCTCTTCGGATTGTGAAACTATTGGAACATAGAAGGACATCAATATTTTGATTGAAACAAATAGGATATCCTACGTTTTTGTAAATACACAAGACGGAAGGATTTCAATTGTTTGGAAAAATAATAAAAACAACCGGTTTCCCGGTGTCCCGTTGTCCCTCCATGATTTCTGAGTTGCAAAGCAACAGCATTTGTTGATTCACCATGGAAAACCGAACTATTTCTCCAAATGAAACACACAAAGGGAGGACAAAATGTGTTTGGATATCGAGCAGAAAACTACACTACCGACCCACTGCGGACTGTGCCTAGTCAACCACTAATACGCAATGTGCAACTGGCGGCAAAAATTCCATTTAATTTCCGATTTATTGATGCTCCAAACTTTTAACATTTTGATTCGAGAATAGGTTTTTTCCCCTTTTGTAGTTTTTATTCTAAACAAAGCGCTGTGCCAGCTCAAGCGGTACTGAGTGCGACACCCCCAAGCCAGTGACGTGGGTACAAGCCTCGAACTTAGAATATTTAAAAAATTCGTTTGAAAAATAAAAATGTAAACTGAAAAATTGTTTATATTTGTTGCTTCGCGTCCAGGAGAACTTACTTGCTGCCTCTGCCTCTGGCTCTGCCCCGCACGCAGCAACAACTCAAACACTTGTTTAGGCTTTGTCACTAGAACGGTTTGTGATTACGGAGCGGGCGACGGGAGAACTCACATGTACGCGAAGCGACAAACACTACAACAATTTTGCACTTGACCAGTTTTGCTTTTTTGTTACCACTTCTTCTTACTTCTTACTTCATTTTTCATTTCTTTTTCCTCACTGCGCTTTCATGTCTTCTTCGCCATTTGCTTTAACAATTTTTATACCAACTTTAACAATTTTGTTGATTCACTATTTTGACCGTAATCAATCGAATTTTTTCACACAAGAAAAAGCAGTAATTTGTGTAATTTCGCAAAAGAAATATATTTGAAAAAATAAAGAATAATGCAGTAATAGGAACGCACGGCACAGAATTTTTCTACTTTAAAGAAAAATTACAACAAAAAATGACAACACATCCGAACGACACGACAAACTCGACTCAACTGAGTGTGAATAGGACAGCACATTTTGATATCTGGCAATTCTAATTGCCAACAACAACCATTGAGTAATAAAACTAGAAGCAATAAAATAAAAACTTTATACATTTTCTGAAACACTTTTGTTATAGATGTAGCACAAAATTTACACCAACATATAATAGTCAAATGCTTGGGGAAATTCTTTTGTATGTACAATTAATATTAGGCCTTTTCGGTGGCTCGCAAGTACGGCAAAAAATGCATGTTGGCCTATGTTGGCCACGTGAGGCATTGGCATCACTGTTGCAATCTGTCAAATATTTTGTTTTGACAAACAGCAAAACGGATTTTTTAAATGTTATGAATGTTCGTGTCAAGTAGCACTCTAGAAAACACTTCGTTTCCTTTGTGGTCCATAGTTTGCGTGTATTTCTATAAAAAAATTTTTTAGAAGAACTTCAAAAATTATGTTTGTTTATTAATTTTACGTATGTAAACTACAAATTAAATGAAATAAAATAAATGTTACTTGGTAATAACTAACATAATAAAAAATTCAATGTGCTTAATACTTACGATTTCTCCATTCTTATTATTTCTTCGTTACTTTTCAAGATTTTTCAAATTTTTGAATTCTGTTTGAATTTTTATTTCCTCAATTTTTGACATTTGATTGCACTATTCGTTGGAATTTTCAATGAAGGTTCACAATAGTTCGCTTATTGCGTTGGTAACATTTTTTTTTTTACTGGCCGATGTGGTTGGCCAGCATAACTATGCTGGCCGAGGTAGAGAAAATAGTGTTGTTGTTTTGCATACATTGCGGCCAGTATAGGCCTGCATAGGCCAACAACTTGCTGTTTTTTGCCGTACTTGCGAGCCACCGAATACGCCTATTGTTAATAATAGTTGCATATACAGAAAGTCTTTAAAATATATTATTAAAAGTGTTTATTATTAGAAATATTATTAAAATATGTATCCATGAAAATTTCTGTATTAATTATAAAACTAAATTTCTATTTCATATGTTAGGCCGTGTACGAGTTCAAATAAATTAATGATGAATTGAGGGAAATAGAAAATAATGTCGGTATGGCAGTGAATATTGCTATTTACCATAATTTCAAGTAGAGTAAATTATATAAGAATTATGTTAATTAGGTATTACCATTATTAAAATTTTATAAGATGTTTGATAAATATGATGTTTGATATATAAATAAATTTGAAAACTTTTAACCAAAAATAATAAATAATTGCAATAAATAAATAATTATATAATTGCTCTACAAAAAATCCCTAGGAAATTTGTAGTGGATCTTAAGTCAACAAATACCTAATACAACGAATCGCCTAAACAAAGAATGATCAATAATAGTAAATAAACAACGTATCGAAAATGTTTTACTTTATTGAGAAATGTTCTGTATGAAATGCAATTAAAATCACGAAAATTCTTGACATGTATCTTTCATTATATAGAAAGACTGCTATATAGACGTAAAACGTGTTTTTTGAATTTATGACATATACATACGTAATGTGAGATCAATCAATATTTTCTTTAATAAAATATTCAGCAAGTTTTTGTTATTAATGCAATAATTTTTCTGTTTGATTTGATATAACCAGAGTTCAATATATATACTGTGTGTTGCCAGATCACAGCAACAATATATTAGGACTGTTTCACGTACTACTCATAGTAAAACTCATATAAAACACAAGTAAAGTATATGAGTGCGCAACACGAATAAATGGCAAATTTCGCTCTTCACCACGGTCGTACTTTAGTACTAAAATTGGTACTTTTTTTTTCGTTTGGTACTCATGTTCAAAAAATGGTACAAAAAATGGTATATTTTGTTCATTTATAACACTATGAAAAACACAGAACGAAAAAATAAAAAGGTCCAAAAAAACCTTTTTTTACAGAAATGGTACCTTTTTAAACCAATTTTGGTACGAGAAAAAATTTTCAAGTGGCAGTTGAAAACACCAGTGCCGCGTAAATAAACAATAGAAATATTTAAATTCAAACCAAAACAGCTGATTCACACATCAACACAAATTTTATTTGAAATAAAACTTGTGAGTAAAATCTGTGTAGCATTTTTAAATTTCAACAGAGATGTTACGCTCTCTCTGATCCTCTCATTTACTCGAAAATATACTGGTGGAATGCACTTGTGAACACGGTTGCCACTTGAAAATTTTTTTCTGTACCAAATTTGGTTTAAAAAGGTACCATTTCTGTAAAAAAGGTCCAAAATTTTTCTATTGTCTTTTTATAAGAAAATACAATTTATATAAAATGTACAAAAAGTATAAAACAATACAATATCCACAATAAAGTTGGGTCGCCGAAAATGTACCATTTTTTGAACATGAGTACCAGAGTACCAAACGGAATAAAAAGTACCAATTTTGGTACTAAAGTACCATAAGTGGCAACCGTGCTTGTGAATACACAGTGTTACTCACAGTTACTAAGAGTAGCTGGGGAATATACCTATTATATGTTAACAACAGGACTTATGACACCGTTTTAGCATACTTTTAAATGGCTTTTGTATAGATTTTGTATCCAAAATGTCACATATTAATACATATTCTTTGATTTCAATACTGGTATCTATACATAGTGCAATATAGTAATATTTTTAGAGAAGTTTCCAAAAATAATTAATTAATTAATTAATTAATTATAATAACAAATTATAATTAATTAAAATAACAAAACCACTTTTTTATATATTATTTTTATTAAATGAATTTTTGGCTGACCATACTGTTTCCAGTATTGCTTAATACCCATCTTCAGTGGTCTTGAAATTATTGTTGAAGACCAATTCTGTATAGAATTTTTGTTTATGTAGTTTCACTACCTCACGAAATCTTTTTATTTACTGCAATAACTTTTATTAAGTAAAATAATCACTACTGTCATATTGATGGTAAAATTAAATTTTATAATAATGTTTTTTATTAATTCTGATATGTATATATTATTCCTTAAAAAAATACACAATTCAAAATTTTTAACAGTATGTTGTGTAATTGCGTCCTACATTTTAAAGATTTATTTTGAAATTTTTCTAAAATGCAACCCTGTCAGCATTGCATTATTGTATTATCAAAAAACAATTTTGCATGATATTTCTGGAGTGGGGAGTTAGTATACAACAAGAAATTGCCACTGAGCGGGAGTTGAGTAGGTGTCGGGTAATGTTTTCAAGTTCTTTGCTATTTTCACGCACTTAATAGATAAAATTTTTTCAGTAGTACAATAGCGGAAGGCTGTCCTATGATAAATAAAAGATAAATAACTGGAGAAAATTGTCTAAAAATAAAAATATTGTTTGCTGTGAGTCACGTCAATTTTCGTCATTGCCTAAATCTCAGAGATAATTGACAACCACTTGCTAACTTGTGAGATTTACTCGTGCAAAAACACAACTTCAGCAAATTAGAAAGTGCATTGTATTAATTAAACAAATAAGTTACATAAAAACACATTAAAAATGGCAACTGGCGAAGGTGTACCACGTAGTGAACTCCAAGAACTACAAATTAAATCTGGGCAGGTGGCTGATGAGTCTCTGGAGAGTACACGTCGTATGCTGAACATGATGGAAGAAAGTAAGGAAGCTGGCATACGTACGCTTGTTGCACTTGACGATCAAGGTGAGCAACTTGATCGTATCGAAGAAGGCATGGATCGTATTAATGCTGATATGCGTGAAGCTGAGAAAAATCTAAGTGGCATGGAAAAATGTTGTGGTCTTTGCGTGTTGCCGTGGAAGAAAGTGGCAATGAAAGATGATAGCGATAATGCTTGGAAGACAAATGATGATGGTAAAATTGTTAATAACCAACCGCAGCGAGTTATTGATGAACGTGAGCGTGGTGGTATGGGTGCTCCAGCACAATCTGGCTATGTTGCACGCATCACGAACGATGCACGTGAAGATGAAATGGACGAGAATATTGGACAAGTTAATTCCATGTTAGGTAATTTACGCAACATGGCGTTGGATATGGGTTCTGAGCTCGAAAATCAAAACAAACAAATCGACAGAATCAATGCCAAAGGCGATGCCAACAATATACGCATGGACGGTGTCAATAAACGGGCCAATAATCTACTCAAGAGTTAAACGCACACAGGGTAAATGGGCACAAATCACAAACGTAGTCCAAATTGCACAAAAATATATATATCATGCACAATTGAATCATAAGTCAACTATATATTATATACAAAAGCATATACATTTATTTATTATACGATATATGAATATACGTCAGAGACACTGTAACTAAACTAAACTAAACTGAACCCAACTAAACTACTTACGGAACTATATATATATATATATTTACTAAACGCAACTGAACCATCTAAGAGAGTACATAATTTATAATATTTATCTTGACTAATGTTTACAATAATGTTCGTACCAATCTTTACTATTATATATATTTTATGGATTTTTTTATATTGTGCCGTTGGCTATGACGTTTTTGAGCGGAGCAATACGCATTTTTAATTATAAATAAATACTTCAATTTCTATTAAAGTAAAAAATTGTTAAACAAAACAAAGCAAAGCAAAGCAAAACACTGTAGTCGTAAATTTTTGAGATTTTTTCTTTTATAAGAAATTTTTACATATTTACAATGTGAAGTTTTCTTCGTGTACGCGTAGTTTGATTGTATTGTATTACTTATTGTATTTTTAATGTTTTAAGATTTTAAAATTAAGAGTTGTTAATTAAATAATAATAATTAAATAAGTTGAATTTAGCCTCCAGCAAAGCAAAACTATATTTCCTTAATCAAAGAGATAATGAGAGAAAAGAAAAATTAAATTTTAAAAAGAGTTTGTTAAATTTATTACATATTGAGATTATATTATATTATCATATATACATACATAAAGATATATATATGTGTGTTTAAATTTATTGATAAAATTAGATATTAAAAATAATATACATACAAATATATATATATAAAACGTTTCATTAATGATTGCCGTTGTTAAAGTTTTATGAAAATCGGATTCCAATTATAGATGCTGAAAGCGATTAGAAGAAAATAAAAAATATCATAATCAAACAATTGAATTTTTAATAAAATTATTTAAATTCATATAAAACAATTTATTTATTTTATTGCTATATAGAAAAATATTTTGAAGATAATGGCGTATCTAAAAAAATTAACTAAGTTGGCCCTTATGGACGTGAGTCGTCCTTGGTCTAACGCCCCTAAATCGTTGGTCACCTGGGTCTTCCATCGAATATTCAGACGTTCTCTACCGCGTGTTCAGCCAGCGGGTACCGAATCAAACACCTTTCTAGCCGGAGCAATTTATCCATTCCCACGATATGACAAAGCTAGCGGAGCAGCTAAATTTTTATGCGCTTAACTATATTAATGTCGCTGTATAGTTTATATACCTCTTCAACACAAAAAAAACTATTATAGTTTTCCGATAATCAATGTCCGTTCTATAATGTACACATAATATCCATTGACCTTTATCGGACGTCAATAGTTTTACATTTTTCTATAAAGTCATAGTTTTACCTGGATTCGCGTCTACTAAGTGCAGCTTGTATGCCCGGGTTTTGTTGTTGTTGCTATGGTAGCCCTCTAGGACTTAAAAGTAGATAACATAAAAGGTTTTACAACACGAATACATGGGTTAGGATTTTGATCTTCTGTTATTTTACTTACTATACTACAGTATTTCATAAGTAATATCCTCTACAAGCATAATAAGAATGTGACCAGGTGACTTTTGTCGGTTTTTCTTTCTTAGAGAATTAGTGGTTACTTAGTTCTGAACCATAATTTGTTGTAAAACAGATAATACGACACTGACCCTAAAGTTTCATTCTAAATCTGTTACCGTAGATAAGTTTAGGTTGGGAGCACGTATACTGATATAACGGCCAGCATTTTCACTTGAACACATCTATTACCCATTGTGATGACCGCATAGTTACCTATTAGCGAAAGTTACTCTAACCGTTATTTACTTCTTGCATTGTCTTTGTTAAACCGAAGGGCCTAACAGATAAAGCTTAGTAAATACAACATTAATTGTTTATATCTGTCAGGCTAGTGAAGAGAAGTTCTCTGAGACACTGAACTCGGTTCGTCTGTAGCTTTTGACAATGATATAAAAAATGATTCAATAGATTGTATTACTATTAATTCATTATTCGATTACTACTGCTACCTTGGTTGGATTGTTGGTTGGAGTGGTAGGCCATTAGATAACTCCCATGTAGCTCAATCAACGATTTTTCGCCATTTTGCTACTACATACCTCTCGTTAACCCCTAGTATAGAAGAGCAAAGACTAAATCTTTCAAGTCGAATTTAGATAAACAGTCTGACAAACTATCAAAGAAGTATCTTTCTGAAAACGTATTTCTTCTGGATACCACAGTTGGGCATTCACAGAGAAAATGTGTTATGGTTTCTTTTTCCTACGGGTTTCCACAACTTCTGCAGTAATGATTATGAGGAATGTGAAGTTACTCCGCTTGGGTTCCTATCACCAATGAATTGAAAGAACTGCAGTGAGTTCTACCTTAGTTTTCATTAGTTTTTTATCGCATTTCACATATGCCTGCATCCCATTATGCTACAATATATATATTGGAGTTTTTATTGATTTAGGATCTAGAAAAGAATTCCATATCCGTATATATATCTTGCTAATGCTCACGTCGACGGTTTAATAATTAAAGATATGAACAATTATTTCATTGGTAGTGATACATAGATACACATAGAGTATCCCTGAAGCAAACTTATATGACGTGTATTATTAGTTTGGGCTCTGATAACATTTATAAGATCCATAGATCCATATAATACCATAGAAATATTTTGTTGTTATTCTAAAATAACACCAGTTTATTATTGTGGTGTATTATCAAATGATAATATTGAACTGAATTATTAATTTTTAATTATGATCTAAGAGAAACGTTTGAATGCTGTAAGCGATTCGAGGCTAATATAGTCGTGAATGCATCTCAAGCAGTATTTGATCACATTATTATTTATATAGATGAGATTAGCAAATATATTTCCATTATTACTTAAATAAAATATTGTGGAATTAATAAATATTTTTGATATATAAATATAAATATCTTATTCTACATATCGTATTCATAAAATAATTTTAATGATTAAAGTGAAGGAATTTTAATCTCACTATTTTTTTATTAGAATCTTTAAAAAAAATTTAAGCCATGAGCAATCAATGATCTCAGCAATGAGTAATGATGCTGAGGTACTTTTATTAAGCTTCAGTCAAGAAAACGATACTTGGTGTTTGTAAATATTAAGTTAGAATTCTTTGCTTTTATATATATATTTTATGAATAAAACTATTTTTTGATAAAGAATCGGTGTTTTTCTAATAAAACTTCTCCTCAAAATATAAACACATTTCCATGTTTTCGTTGAAAGTCTATTATGAAACTTAAGAATTGTGAAGTGTTTCTCAGAAGTCCACTAATGAGCTTTTCTCACAATTATGTCAACAATTAAAATAAATAAATGAGGTCATAATAAACAAAATTTTGTAATAAATATTTTATTGTCATAAATTTTAATCCACAATTACTAACAACAACATGGCTTAGAGTATCTTCTGAACTCTTATAGATATAGGTATATATATTTTTAAATGTAATTATCATTAAGTATATTATTATATTAATTATAATAATATATTATATCAACATTATTTATTTTCTATCAGTTCAGTTTTATCATAACAAAAGAGTCAGTGGAAAAAGTTGGTCCATAACTAAGTTCTTGCTAGAAAATTGATATGAAATAGAAAGACATCCCTAGCGACGCAGAAATTCGGTACAAGCGCCAACCTGTTTTGACCCAGTAACTACTGTAGGATGACTTTACTCATTAGAATAGACCTCAGGCTGTTGGCAAGTTGTCTGACTTCGAGAATATATCGAATCTAACCGCAATGGTACCACAATGGGCCATTATTTGTGCTTACAAGGCCGCCACTCCAACCTACCTACCGCAATAGATATGATATCAATGTTGTTGTTGATATGATATCAATGTTGTTGAGAATGAAAAGGACTTTCCATTCTCCATATCGAGGCAATGTTATTTTACAGAAAATGGTTATTTAAGAGCAAGTTTCTTGATAGGACTTTGGCAACTACAACAAAGTCCATTACAACAGGTTACCTAACAACCATTTTAACAATGAATCTGTCAGAGGTAAGAGAACCTGCATTACTTTATCAACAATATGACTCTGTCGGTGGTAAGAGAATGTGGGCTCTGTTTGGAAGGAAATGATTTCTGTAGTCACAATCCCTCAATATGGTCCATGAAGAAAATATTGGATTGTTGTTGTAACCTCCTAGGATCTGCTTGTGAAGTCCCTTTGTAAGTAGTTGATTAATAAAACATATAAATATATTATATTACTAATAGTGTAACTATCCTTTAATTAGATGTGATAATACAGTTTAACCGCCAATTTGTTAAACATTAACCGTCTCAATGTCCTCAGCTGAAGCAACAGGTAATGTCATTGTTCTTTCAATGCATCACAGCGCATGTTCACTTTTAAGTGCATTCAACTTTTGTTTTCGACTTAAACACGGCCATACAATCAACAATTTTTTTTTATTTTCCAATAAATAATATATTAACAAGAAATATAAATGCCTAAATATCTGAGTAAAATTGCTCATCAATACGTCAAAAGATCCATTTTACAATTTATATCGATAGCAGTTGAAAGTGGTAATATAAACGACTAAGTCTTCTGTTCCACAGACATCAGAAAGGAACTCGATTTCTGGTGCATTATCTGGCGGAATGTATATAATAGTACCACGTGAAAGCTCAAACTCAGCGTGTCCACTAAGACGCATCAAGCTTTTGCCATGCAAGGTCAACAGAATAGAGCTGTGTGGTTTCAAGGCCAGTTCATATTTTCTTGTTTGCGGAGGAATTCGAACTTTTATAATGGCAAAATCATCAACGGGTGGTGCGAAAACTTCGATATATTCATTAATACGTCTGGGCATGAAGAATTTTTCACTTGGTGGCAAGCCTTCGTAGTTAAGGCACGCTGTCAGCTCGCTAACGTCCTTAAACTTCGGTGTTAGTCCAGCACGTATGACATTGTCAGAGCGTGCCATAGCTTCGATGCAATCGCCAGATAAGTAAGCATGAATCTCATTTGCGCCCAAATAAATCGCATCGCCAGGCTTCAAATGCAATAGATTGAGAAAGAACAGCGAGAGCAAACCCACATCTCCCGGAAAATCATTTTGGACAGTAGTGAAGACGTCAAATAGTTTATGTGATTTTAACACTAAAAAAACAAATTAATTAAAAATAACAATAACAGTAATAATAACCAAAACTAATTACCATCTACGTAATTTGTGGAAATTTCATCTAAGCAAGCACTGATTGCCTCCTGTTCTGAGGTCATAAGTTTTGTGAAACATTTGCGTAATCCTTTTTTTGCAGCCTCTTTGTCGGCATTCTGTAGAG